AGAGGCCTGTAGTACCTCTCATATATATATTTGAAGATAGCCTTGAAGTTTCAGAAAGATCCATGAAGTATTGAGTGAATGAGAAGCAAAATGATATATGTGTGAAAAGTGACAATACACATCTTTTCACACAAAAACATATTTATATATAATACAGGTCGAAGATTTTATTAAAAATATGTAGGATACATAGTAGACTACCTAAGGAACCTATGCTACATACTGCCCTGAGAGTAGAGGATAGGTGGAAAGAATGTAGTGTAGATATGAGTTGACCTAGTAAAGTCCTACCACTGCTTAACTGACCATTTTCGATGTTTTGAGCATTTGAACTTTCCCACACTCAGTTTCTTATCTACTTCACTTCCACAACTCTCAGCTCTGGGTGGATCTTTCTGTAAATTAGGGTCTATGATATTGAATATATTTAAAATGTGCTCCAGGTGTCCGATCATTAAAAATTGATAAGTTGAACATATGGGCCTCTAATCAGTAAAAATGTCCCCTTTACATCAGATCCCAAACTTCCGCCCTATATGTAGCTGATCTTGGTCATAAAAAGCAAGTATATATGCTACACTAATTGTATATGAGCAGGTTGGATCATATGTGCAAGAGTAAGATGCTGAAAAACATCAAAAACATCAAAAATGTGATTTTCTATGTTTTTGTTCCTGTAGAAGTATCCTGTTGGTGTAATGAGCTAGCTATATGATATATATACTCCAAATATAAATAGAAATAGACCCCCTACCATGCTTGAGGTCCAGTACTGCAGGAAAACCTTTCACAGGGGGTGAACCACCAGGAGAGGGGAGATATACAACACAACAAGGTCTTGTCCTGTGGTCCTGGGCTCCTGATACATTGTTCCTACTGTTAAATAGATGCTGGGGATCATTTTTTGAAGTCTATCCACCTGGAAATACTAAAATGAGAACATATTTTGTATTTTCTCATATATATGCTATATCTATTGATGCAGAAGGCTCCAGGAGGTAAAATAAAGATGGGAATCTCTTCATGTATACTTATAAACATGTTTTGAATAACCTGGGACACTTCCCTACCATAGGGGCAAAAATGCGAAAGTATTCTGTATCTTATTATATGTTAAATGGTCTCTGGAGGAGGAGCAGGTATATAAATGAGCAAAAAAAGCGGTCTATTGTATTATATTATACATATATATTCCAAACTACTACTTATATATGAAGGGGGACCTGTTGTGGTGTAGTGGTGAAGCTGCAGTGAGGTGGGGAGGGTGTGGGAATAATTGATATTGTGTACCGTTGCCCAGACGTATCAGGTTGTTTTTGGAATTTTCAATTTCAGCCATTACTCAGCACAACCAAACATTAGTTCATTATTCTATTATTGTCATCTCCGTCGTTCCAAGGATGCAGGCCGATGATCGCGAAGATGAGAACGAGGACGGATATTATACACACTATTCAACAAATCCTAGCGGGAGAAACCAACATAAAGACTGTTGTAAGTCTTTCCTGCCGCACTTCACTGCAACAAGCCTTTGACAGTGCATTTTTCAGCTCCCAAGGGTGATCATAAACTTTTCTACCCACTGTTCCACCTGGCTGTATCAGTACCGCCTGTGCACTCTGCAAACCTTTTCGTACCCTCTTTCCTCTCCATTCTACTCTACCCTGTCAAGCAACACCTTATGCATCTGTTTTCACATAATCATCTGGCTCATGGCCCCTTCCGCATACCCCACAACACCTCTCAACACTCAGACACCTTCTGATATCCTGCTGCCTATTCCCATTCCATGCGCGGAGGAGTCCGAGGAGACATTGCGTGCAAGACTCGTCCATCAGAGCAGGAAGTGTGGAACTTTGGAGAGTGACCTTTTGCTGAGTACGTTCGGAAGGTACCCTTACAGTTTCTGACTACAAATACCTCATTTACACTCATACTTATGAATAGCAGAATCATATACGCTGATTCCCCCCCACTCAAAGCTTGTCCTAACCGCTACAAGAAAGAACTGACACGCTCAAATGCTTATCTCTACTTTTGCACCGTCTGTCTCACTTTTCTATCAACATCGATTTGTTCCTTGCCTCCCACTGAAACCTCCGCCTCTTTCACATTTACAATAACGTTGATTTGTTCCTTCACTCTCTTCATTTCACTGTCTACCTTACATACATACCAACCTGTTTTCGTTCTCTCTTCCCCCTCAAACACATACTCAGCCTTACAATCACACAAATCACTATCATCATGGGAACTTTATAAGAATGTGCTCGTCAATGCGAAGCTACTAGGACTGATAAGTACTGTGGTATGACTTGGATATGGAACAAAGAAGGTTTGAGTGTTTAAGATCAGAAATTAGCAAAGGTAAGTGAGATAGAGTAGTACGAGAACTTCGAAGGCTTGAATGGCTAATGTTTGAATCCTGGGACGTGTTGTTCAAGTTCTAGGGCCTTGCAGAATTGATTACAGTCGTGAAGGGCTTGAAACAACTGGATTTGGTCTGGGCCTTTATCCCAATAACCCGAGTCTTGACTCTCACTAGCAGTAGTAGTCAGATACGGACATGCTAAAGATGGTAGTGGCTGCAAAATGAACATACATATGAGCTTGAGGATCGAACAATGTGACACTATGGTCTGGACTCGAGTCTACAAGAACATGGTGTGAGTAGGCATCCACCACACGTCCAATCATGTCCTCATTGTTTCCTGGTTGCTCATTACCAGAAAACTTCACCTCCCGATACAAAGCACCTGAAGGAAGGAGTGGTGTTGCAAGGAAGACATCATATAAGAGACTTCGATTGTCATCTGTTCCATCAGTTGGTGCGGGTGGCAACAAATCTGTGAGCTTTCCTATAAATGCTCCCACGATGTTCCATTTCATTGCTTTATCACAAGGAGTAAGTAATAAACAATGTAAATAGAAAAAACACACTTACAAGGTAGGCCTTTGACACCGTGAGCAAGTGCACGTTTATAGAACGAGTCCATGAAGTACTGGGCTTTGTGTAGAAGGCATAGTTCATCTGATAGATCTTTCATGTTGGTGTTACTCGACGAACTGATGGGCTTGCACTGTAGGATTGCATAATCGAGTCCTTTGTACCGTCCCTTAAATGAATTAATGATGCAGTGCAGCCACAGTGGCACAAGTTGAACTTACTCGAATGGCAAGCTTTGTCAGTCCTTGCCCAAGGTATCCACCACCCAGTTGTTTTGCACGATGTTGTGTCTGCCAGTTTCGTGCGATAGATATCTCCTCTAGATCTTCACAGTGTGTAGGTTCGATTGTCCCATCTGTGGCAATTGTACAGGTGGTTTGCCGAAATTTGAATGTTTCGAAGCTGAATTGTGCAGAACCTTGAGCTGATGGCCGGCGTTGATATTCACTTTGATAGAGAGCACGTTTCGTAGATGGGCCTGGGGTTGCAGATGCCAAGTCTTTGCCTCAAAAAAAATCAGTTTCAGACACCAAATTCAGCCAGTTTAAAAGACTTACTGTCAGATCGTTTTCTCTTCCGACTTGGAGCACTTTTCCGCACTCTTGACTTGCCCTTTGAGTTGTGCCGAGTCTCCACAATATCAGGTGAATTGTCAGCCTCTTCGTTATCCTGCAATAACAATCAGTAATGGTGTAGCTCAAGAATGGCAAAGGTAATGAAACAGTTACTTACCCATTCGATTTCATAGACATAGATGTGTAGGGTTATTCTTGGCACCTTTGCAGAGCCATCTTTGTCAGATAGTACACGCTTATGCTTGAGTCTCACGAAAAGATCCTCGATTGAACCATCCATGACCTGGTCCTCAATAACAGCAGTGCCCCCAGGCCCAGATCCTTTGGCAGTACAGAATGTGGCAGCCTCGCTATCAAGAAAATGCAAATGCCATGGTCAGCAGTGGGGCCCAACATAGATAACATAAAGATGTACAATTTGAACATTGAATCGAGAATTTCTGAGGGGATTGCATCTGTGCTCTGCACTGGTATGGTGCAATACATACCCTTCGACTTCAATAGCAACTGCTGAAGAGCACCTCGTGCTGATTCATTGGCCGGAAAGGTACAGTGTGAAGGAGGAATCTTTGCCTAGTGTAATATATATGAGTTGTCGACTGGTAGTACTGAGTGAAATGATACTGCTTACTCTCTTTGCAGTAACTTGTTTATTCTGAGCTGGATAAACCCACAACGAAAAATCTATATCAACCTGTGAATTTTTTGCTCTTGCTTTCAGAGCAGAAACCTTTCGATTGACTTCTGAAGCACTCAATAGTGATGAATTCTGAGGACGAGGCTGGTTTAGATGGTGCTGTGATGCAATGCTAGTAAAGCCAGATCTGCGATCCAAGATTGTGGCTGCAGTTGAACGAGTTGCATTTCCCACGCTTGAACCATGGCTGAGAATTTTTGCAGATTCGGACGCTAGAACATGATGCAACATAAGTACAAACCAACGCAGTACTACCTTGCATGGGGACATACATGGGTTTGATAGCACAGCTTCACCATCATGGTAGCCAGGCTGGACAACTTTGCAGGGCTCACACAAAGTGGATCGAAGGAAGTCGTAGCATACCCCACAGTGTTTGCATTGTGGTTTATCCTGTATATGGTCTGAGTTAGTATAGATTCTCATTACATAGTAGATTTGCAATGCACATAGACAGCAGTACGTTCAGCTTCTGTGGCTTCCCAGAGCTTTGAACATTTTCCACATTCTTGGCCATCCATGGCGGGAAAGTTCCTCGAGCAACCTGAACATTGTGCCATGAACAAGGCTAAGAAGAAATGACAGTTGAAAATAGGATGCAGAGCACAAGCTTAAATATTGTATGCCACAGCCTTCAAGTGCTAAGTTTATTCGGCACCACTTTGTTTAGTTTACATTAAGTCTTTAATCTGTATTATATATTGTGTAGGTTTTTTGATACTGGATCACCGTCTAGCTTTCAAAACTGTCTATTTGCTACAAAATACAAGTTCTCTATAACCTAAATGAGAGGTAACATAGCAGAAAAGATGTTCCACACATTGTGAAAGGATAACTCCTTGAAACCAAGGTTCGTAAAAATGGTCTGTGCATGATTCTCGTACTCGACAGAAACAAAATGAATAAGATCCTCACCACCTATACTCTCCATCAGCTGCCTTACCACCTCACGGTCAACTGCTTGTAGGCAGTTCTCAGCTTGATACTCGTCGTGAAGGGCAAATGCAACATTGGGAGAAACACCTGATGGAAGTTTCTTGGAAGAATCCTTGCGAACATGGTGGTTGTTGAACTGCTCCTGAAGCTGATTCAGCTCTTGCTGAATTAGTTTCGGCCACAGCCATTTGACCAGATCACTACAAGTGAGACATTGGTAATTTCGTACGAGAGCTCTAGCTCAAAATTCACTTACTACTGTCTCAGGTCCATTTCATCATAGATGCCACTGCCTGCTTCCCAGAATACCTTGACATTGTCTCCCCACTGAAGACGGAGACGAAGCCAGCCACGCTCGATAGTCGTATTGTGGACACTCTTCAAAAATTTATGTGCAGGCAGCTCGTTCAATGACAGATGGGGGGAGAAGTGTTCTCTAGTATGATGTAATAAGCGTCAACATTAGAAAGATAACATGAAATAAACTACCGAAGTGCATTGGCAAATCCATAAATTTCCGTAGTCTCGCTACCACAATCAGTTGTTGTCTGAATTGGGATGCCTTCGAATGTGAGAGTGAGCTCATATTATATATATCTAAGAATGACAATATAACAAACCACCAAGCTGATAACAAAGAGAAAGATATAAATAAGCAATTGCATCTTTAAGACGGTTGTTTGGCAAGACCCAGATACCGAGCCATTTGCCTGACCAAACATCACGAATTCCCCAAATTGGAAAGCCAATTTGAGTGAGCTTATCATGGCCATCACCACTCCACTCATGGTGCGGGCCAAGGACAACCAGGGGCCTCCGAGACAACTTCTTGCTGGTAGGTTGGCGAACAACAAAACCTTCAGGTTCTTGCAACATCATCTGGTCTCTGATGTATTTGCTGTGCAAAGGTCCCTTGCAGCTCAGTAAGGACAACAAAAACATGTAGAATGTACGAACCGCGGGAGCATAACTCCAGTTTTGTTTGCAATGAGTTCCTTCACAACCCGTGGTCCACGACGACCAGTAGGATCATCTGCTAGTTGGTCCAGCACGAGTTGGCGTTTGGTGACCTCAGGGAGTTGAGCCGCTGTTAAGTGGCTACCAAACAGTCCCAGTTCTCTTCTACGACGAGCGACTGTTGCTTCACTGAAGATTCATTTATAAACAAGCTAAAGTTATACATTGAAAGTGCCAACACGAAGCTCACCTCATTTTAATGCCATGTTCAGCTTGTAATAGCTTGCTTATGAGTTTACGATCCGAAATATTCTGCCGGTGATATTCACGAAGAAGGTTGGCAACTTTATGATCACCTTTGGGAGCTGAAAAATGTGCTGTCGAAGGCTTGTTGCAGTGCAGTGCGGCAGGAAAGACTTACGACAGTCTTTATGTTGATTTCTCCCGCTAGGATTTGTTGAATGGTGTGTATAATATCCGTCCTCGTTCTCATCTTCGCGATCATCGGCCTGCATCCTTGGAACGACAGAGATGACAATAATAGAATAATGAACTAATGTTTGGTTGTGCTGAGTAATGGCTGAAATTGAAAATTCCAAAAACAACCTGATACGTCTGGGCAACGGTAATTGTGGAGATTCCACAAATGGTCGATGTTTTGGGCGTTGTGGGGTAATTCCCATGCTGTGGGGCTAAAAATGCGGTCACATATTGGATAATCTGTTTGAGCAGTGATTTGTAAGCTGGCAAGTGCCCAAAGCTTCTATAAATGATTCTCCTCAAGGATACATCCTGTTGGACAATTGGATAGTTATAGGTAAGTATGTATCGGTATTTATGGACTGTTGTCCATTCAAGATGTATTAATATAGCGCTATGGGCTGTAGATATAACCTTTAGCTACAGTTTTGCCGGTGATAACCTGCACCACTGACCCTGAGGCCCAAGTAGTTCTACTAGCTGCTGGCTCTTTCAACCTGCTTCGAGGACTGGCAGGTCAACTGAGGATCCTAAGGCGCGCGGGTGAGTCATGTGGTTGAATCCTGGTTGCACAGTGACCTGCTCATACTCACCGCATATTTAGTGTCACAAACCAAATTCCCGCAACAATCAATAGCATAGTCGCAAGGGTCGCCATCTTTCCCACATGCGCTAACAAACATAGATGCTGTCAAAGCAACAACAACGGCGAGGATGGAGAAATGCATTTTCTGTGCGAGGTGATATGGAAATCTTCTGAGGGTGATCTCGAATGATATCTCTGAGGACGGGGGAACGCTATAAGACGACGGCCAGCTTTTATATTCTGCATATACTTATGAGTGTGATTCTGATCGATTTGGCAGAATTTTTATTGCTATGTAGGGCTGTCGGCGGCGAAACCTACATGCCATCAGTGAATTGATGAGTCCTCGATATTGTAGCCGTGGGAAGTATAGCACGATGTAATTCTGCTGCCGCCAAATATTAGCTTATATACTGCGAGCAATTTGAGTTGCACATATATACTCATGTATGCTTGTAAATCCAGCTTAACATGAATGATTTATAACAATCCTGGGACATTCCGCCTTTGCAGCCAATGAGTAGTGGTAGTATACCTGAGCCAATTGTTTTGAGCTTCGACATCTTACCTGATCTTGTTTTTTAATTACAATGTTATTTAAGGCCTTTTGATGGAAAGAGCCTCGGGCATTTGTCGACAAATATAAAATACCATTAGATTTAGTCACAAAGCTATGACATTCCTCCTTTTCAGATAATGAGGGGTGGTAGTAGACTTATCCCAATTATTTCGTGCATTGTCGTTTGGCCCTATTTATTTATCCCATTACAATGCTATTCAAGCCCTTCTCGTGAGAAGATACCTTTAGCGGACAACTTTTGAAACTGGCTGTACCGCTTCCAGCGGCCTCCGCTTTCAATAAGACTACATTAAGTATTTTCAAAACAATGCTTTACATGTTTCTGATTGCTGCTTATTGCAAATGTGAAAGTACAGCGGCGCTCTACAAGGCATCAGCGGGATCAATTGTGCTACAGCGCTGGAAATATCCTAAGTCCAACATTTGTATATGTTTGTTCATGTGACGGTGCGCTCACAAAAGTTCAACTTGAACTTTTCTTCCCGCTCTCACTCGCTCTCACTCATCGCTACTCTCACTTGCCACTTTGGCCGACGATGATGGTGCGATGACAACGACGATGACCCGACAGCAACAACCCAACAACATCAACACGACGACGACGATACAACGACAATGACGACGACACGACGACGACGATATGACGACGACGACGACAATGACGACGACACGACGACGACGATACGACGACGACGACGACAATGACGACGACGACGATACGACGACAATGACGATATGACGACGACGACGCGACGCAATGCGACGACAACGACACGATGCGACGACAATGCGATGCGACGACGACGACGACGACGCGATGCGACGAGTGACGATGACACGACGACGACGCGACGACATGATGCGAGACGACGATGACGATGACACAACGACACAACGACGACGACACAACGATGATGACGACGGATACAACGATGACACGACGACGACAATACAACGACGACACAACAACATATCTCTCACTCGCCCTCATCTATAATAGATAGATAGATGTTCGCTGTTTATGTCAGATTTAAAATTTAATGGAATTTGCTTGATATCATTTAATTGAATTGGAAAAGCTGCCTGAAAATAATGTGCTAGTATTGTCGTGAATTGAGATCCTATTTACGAAAATTTGAAAGGGATTAAAATAATTGGACAGATTGCCAAATCGTCAAATTCTTGCAGATTTGTGCAAGTTCCTGAGTAGCTTTGACATCGGAAGCAGATATAAGAAAATGAAAAACGCTTCTTTCCTCTACAAGGTCAAACATGATAATGTAATGACCGATGGCAGAATTATGCTGATGTGTGCGATTGTGTACTATATATTGTGATATATGGCTTTCTACTTTCTTCACCGGTTCACTGATGGCGCACGTAACGCAGGAGTGTGTTCGGTTGATGGTACCATGACCCAATGGCATCTCTCACTCATCGCTTCATCATTTGAACCTGCAGTGACCCTGCGGAACAACGCTCATTCTCGTGAACCTCGTCGATACTCGATATATGCACTTGCCCACTCGTCGTACCCCGTGCAGAGATCATGAGATATCTTTCGACAACTGATTCTCATTCTCATTCTTGGTATGCGCCTAGTTAAAGATTCCTAGTTATGCATTATTATTATCTAACATATACAAGGACGGGACGTTTGATCTCGCGGAAGAAATTCGCGTTTACTCCATGTGCATGCCCATCCGAGCTCCACATGCACTCCAAGCGCTAGTGCACTCGGCAGTTCCATTTGTGTGCGTTCTTCGCTTCTCTACTCCTTTTGCAATTGTGTTCCACTGTTTCCATGTCTTCTGAAGCTCCGTTTGTCTCCTGATTACGCAAATTCGTGGAGGTCCAAATTCTTCATACCGGAGAGATGCATCGTCTGCCTCGCATCACCTTCGCTTTCAATCCAGCGCATTCAAGCTGGACCGTAAATCGAAACCGGTTTCCCCTGCAACCTGCTTATGCGACGACATTCAACGGATGTCAAGGACTAATGCTTGAGAAAGTCGTGTTTTACCTGCATAGATTCGTTCTCACACGGTCAGCTCTACACCGCACTTCTAGGAGTATGGCGTCGCTGACTCAAAGACGTTCGAACGTTATCTCCAAGAGGAGAAGAGGAAAGGATAAATGCAATGCATCGGCCGGGTGATTATAGGCGGCGTTATGCATTATGAGAATGTTAACTGTATACCAGAAAATAAGATGTTTGTCACGCAATGAAGAGTAGGGTCTCGTCAGTTCCATCACACACATGTACAGATCCATGAGCGCTTGAGCTGCTAGGCGGTTGTGTATTACATAATCGAATGATGGAATCCGAATATTGACTTTAAACTTGTCCCGCAAACTGCAGAACTACAGTCATGTCCATGCACATATTCGGCCACGAGGTAAGTATGGCAGATTGCTGACTTATTGTGCTCGACGTCACTAGGTTTCATCCAGGCAACCGAGGAAAAAGCTGAAAATGCGCGTCTATCCTCCTTCGTCGGCGCCCTCGCCCTCGGCGATCTCGTAAAATCAACGCTCGGGCCAAAGGGCATGAACAAGATTTTGCAGTCGGCATCCTCGGGAGACATCAACGTGACCAATGACGGTGCGACGATTCTCAAGTCCATCCAGCTCGATAATGCAGCAGCCAAGATCCTCGTTAATATCTCGAAAGTCCAAGACGACGAAGTCGGAGATGGGACTACGAGCGTGTGTGTGTTGGCAGCGGAGCTGCTGAGGGAAGCGGAGAGGTTGATTTCCATAAAGATACATCCTCAGACGATTGTGGAGGGATATCGGCTTGCGAGCGTCGCTGCGCTTGCTGCACTCGAGAAAGCAGCAATTGATCACGCGTGAGTTTTCGCGTTTTTTCGCGTCGCTTTGAAACTTCTTACGAACTGTGTCTTCGAATAGCTCTGATGCTGCCCAGTTTCGTCAGGATCTCTTCAACATTGCCCGTACGACCCTGTCATCAAAAGTCTTATCACAAGACAAAGATTACTTTGCCAACCTAGCAGTGGACGCTGTGCTTCGATTGAAGGTACGTTTTAATTGCTGTATATGACGCTCGTATTGATTATCTTCGAGGGTTCAACGGATTTGGAGCACATTCAGATCATCAAGAAGGTCGGAGGCAAACTCACAGACTCATACCTTGACGAAGGTAGGCTGACAGATACAACAAATCTTGCTTATCTCACGAGCGTACTCTCAAAAGGTTTCATTCTCGACAAAAGTATTGCTGTGAACTCGCCCAAACGGATGGAGAACGCGAAAATCTTAATCGCAAACACCTGTATGTGCGCGACTATCTCGTATTGATTTGGAACTGAGGCACGGTTCATCAAAAGCAATGGACACTGATAAGATTAAGATCTTTGGAGCCAGAGTAAAAGTGGACTCGACAGGAAAACTTGCTGAGCTTGAGCGGGCTGAACGGGTACTTGCCCGTTTGCATTTCTTCATTGTTTTTCTAATGACGCACTGCAGGAAAAAATGAAAGCCAAAGTAGACGCGATCGCCGCACATGGCATCAATTGCTTTGTGAACCGGCAGCTCATCTACAATTACCCTGAGTCTCTCTTGGCAGAGAAAGGTATTGTGGTGATTGAACACGCCGATTTTGAGGGTGTTGAGAGACTATCGCTCGTCACCGGTGGTGAAATTGCGAGCACGTTCGACAGACCAGATCTAGTCCAACTTGGTAAATGCGACTTGATCGAGGAAATCATCATTGGCGAGGATAAGGTCGGCGCGATCGTTCACTCACCGATCTTGCGCTGATCAGAAGTCACAGCTCATAAAATTCTCTGGTGTGGCAGCGGGCGAAGCCTGCACTGTTGTGCTACGTGGTTCAACCAGTCAGATGGTCGACGAGGCCGAGCGCTCATTGCATGATGCGCTTTCCGTCTTATCGCAGACAGTCAAAGAAACACGGATTGTTTTGGGTGGTGGATGTTCTGAAATGTTAATGAGCTGTGCTGCAGAGGAGGCCGCGCGGAAGGTTAAGGGCAAGAAGGCGATAGCTGCCGAAGCGT